AATAAATAAGTAAATAGAAAAAAGGCATTATCAAGTAAGGATATAAAGAATGAAATTATTTTGTACAGCAATGTGTTTGTGTTTTAAGCTACGTGTTATTACAAAAGAGGCAAAAAGGTAAAAACATTTCAATTTTTATAAAGTAAAAAAGTTACAGTAAGCTAAGGTTAACTTATTAGTTAAGAAAGAAAAATATGTTTTTATAGATTTAGTGTAGCCTAAGTGTGTAGTGTTTATAAAGTACACAGTAGTGTGCAGTGAAAGCCTAGGTCTTCACTTTCTCTCACCACTTATTGACTCGCCCAAAGCGACTTCCAGTCCTACAAGCTCCTTCATTCAAGTGTATAATGCAGATATACTATTTGTTATCTTTTATATTATATTTTTCCCGTATCTTTTCTGTGCTTAAATATGTTTATATATACAAATACTTACCACTGTGTTACCACTGCCTACACTATTCAGTACAGGAACACACTCTACAGGTTTGCAGCCTAGGGGCAATAGCCTATGCCACATAGCCTAGGTGTGTAATACCTTCTAGGTTTGTGTAAGTGCACTCTATGATGTTCGCAGGACAAAAATCGATTAATGGTTGCATTTCTCAGAACATATCCCTTTTGTTAAGCAAAGCACGCCTATATTTTTTGTTTTAATTCATAAATCTTAGGGGTTATTTTCCCCTCCACACACTGTATTCTACTTTCAGAATACCTAACACCTGCCCCTGTAGCATTATATTCCCAAAAATATTATAAATCATCTAGTGGTCAGTGCATAAACCAATTCCACACAGCCTTAGGGCAGTGGTGAATTTAAGCCATTTAAGAATATATATGAACACTTCTCAGGAAAATAGTTTCTATAATATTTTCTGGAAAAATTCTAGATTTTAAAAAAAGGATACTATGAAACTATACTAGATAGTAAATAGTCAAATGATTTCCCTCATGTTCACATATATATTTTGTTGTGTGTTTTCATGAGCATGAGCTGAATTAATTTCACTGTTTGAGTTTTAGGTCACTCCTGACCAGGAACGAGAAAGACGAAGTGTAAGTTACTTTTCCTCTGCTTTCCCTGTGATACTTTCTTAACTGTAGTTACAGACACTCATTTATCTAAACTTCTCAAATTCTAGAGAGATTCTTGAAGAGTTTCGGATATTAGCACTCAACAAAGGTTTAGGGTCCAGGGATTTGAGGGCCGCTTGTGTAAAGGGAATTAACTCTGCATCTCAAGTAACATTGGGAACCAGATTGAAACCTGAATCACTCTGTGATGAACTGGGCTATAATATTTTTATAGAATTATCTAGCCTAATAAAGGTTCATAACTGCTTA